ATGCCTTCGTGGTGTTGTCTCAAAGGGGGAATAGGGTGAGCCTTCGTGGCGTTGGTGTCCCTTCGTGGTAACACCCACATCTCTAACGGTGACATAGCTTCCCTCCAAGGAAGTGAACATCGGCATACATCCTCATCTCTCGGAGTTGCGGTTATCCATAACCCTAACTCCCTACTTGTGGTTACTTGTCTCTTAGTCTTTACTTATATCATATTGTGCTTGTTTACTCTCCCTCTTGTGTTACTTGTTTACCTTGCTTAGCTCATAGCTTCACACTTGCAATTGTTAGGCTCAACTTCATATTCCACATTATTGCCTAAAATTACTAAGTAATAATTAAAATTTGTAATTGTACCTATTCACCCCCTCCCTCTAGGTCCATCTCGATCCTTTCACTTGGCCACATCGAGCTTTAAGAAAACCATGGGAGATTTTGCTGAGTGAGCTGCTTTGATCACATTCTTGACATATAGAAAATTGTCTTGGTTGGACCGTCCTCGAATGAAGGCACTCTGATTATGCATGATCGGGTTGTGGATTTCTAGAGGCATCCGGGATGCGAGCACCTTACGGACCAGCTTGGAAACGCTATGCATTAGGCTTATCGGCCTGAAATCTCCTGGATCCTGTGCGCTCGCACGCTTAGGGATCAATACAACATTCGTCGTGCTAAGCAGATCCCAATTCCTGCCGCGGAGATTGTGAACACAGTTAACAACATCAAGAAGATCCGTTTTTATGATCATCCAACATTGCTTGAAGAAATCCCCGGTGAATCCTTCAGGCCCCGGTGCCTTCTCGATCGCCATGCATTTCGTTGATCGTCGACAAAAGCTCAGTCTCCGGGAATGCCCCGTCCAGGTGCTCGAGCTGTCCTCGCGGCATCCCCAGCTCCTCCCAGTTCAGTGTTGAAGATTGCACGAAAGGCGTGCCCATCAAATTTTTGAAACGTTCTCCGAGGATGTCAGCCTTCCCAGCATGGTGAGAGACCGGCCCATCCCTTCCCACGAGGACCGGAATGTGATTCTTCCGCCGGTGGGCACTAGCTGTTAGGTGAAAAAACCGGGTACTGACGTCCCCCTCTTTTATCTTTTATCTCAGTTACTCTGGATTTTTGCCGCCACCTTGCCTTGTCGACGACCGCAATACCCAACAGCTTAGCTTTGAGCAGACCTCTCAGGTGTTTCTCTTCCTTCGAAAGTGCACTCTCCTCTTAAGCCAGGTCTAGTATGAAGATCACCTCATTAGCTAACCTAGACATGAAGACGGCCCATCTCCTCCTGTGCTTGCTCCAAATTCTGAGAGCCTTCGATGTCCTTGAATTTTGGTGTGCAGCACCCTAACTGGGTCTCTGGACTTGACCAAAATCTGGGCAATTTAGCTAGTGGTTCTCGAAACGGAACGCTTTTGTGAGGAGATGCATCTGATCATTACCCGCTTGTGCTCAGAACCATCCATCATGTTGTAACCACGTACACCCTTCTTGCTTTTGCTCTTGTCTGACTTGTCTTCCAATATATCAGATCAAGGGTTAGCTCCATCCTTATTGCATTTTGTCTGATTGCTTTGTCCTTTAGGAGGCGGCCAATCCTCTTGACTTATCAAAGTTGCGTCAGCATTTTACTAATGAAAATATTATTATAAGTTGCCATGTTTTATCTAAACACATGAATATTTTTTTATAGATAGTGGAGCATTTTCATAATAAATTAAAAACTATATTTATATGGAGATATCATATTATATTTTCCTATTTGTTTAGGAGTTTTCATAGAGAACCATGTGAGCGACTAATCCAGTGATACCCTTGGCACGGACACACAGGTAGGGTAATGCGATGAGCGCTTCAAGGGCTAAACTCCCTCGCGGGAAGAGGAGGGAAATGTTGTTTTTCTTTTTTTTGTAAAAATATTTAATTATGTCGACTGATAGACTTGCAGCGCCGGTTGTCTCGTCCACACAACACGTGTCCCACAAGTGATCCCACCATGTACCAATAGCTTTATCTCCTCCCAGAGTTTTCTTGGGCACTTTTTTCTCCTCCGTGTGCATGTGTCGCTTCTTCATCTTCCTCACGCCATGTCACTCACTTTCTTTGGAAAATCTCACTAGCTCCATCATCGCCCACATCGTCCTAGCAACATCATCTTCCTACGCCAACTACTGCAAGCCAGCGACCGATGAGCCACAACAATACCGATGTCGTTGCTACAAGGGTTAACACCGGTGTTGTAGCCTGGGGGACACTGGTGTAGCAAGCATGCGCTGGTGTTGCGAGGCCTACCTCCACCATGGAACATTGCTACAAGGAGCCATGCAACCACCACTGCTGCAGGGGTGGACTCCAGTGTTGCAGACTGGGCACCAGTGCTGCGAGGATGAGCTAGTGCTACAAGCCTCTCTCCTCTATCATGCATTGCTGCAAGCTTTTGGGCTTTGCACTGGGGAGCCTAGATACCCATGCCGCAAACCCCTCTCTACCGTGCATTGCTGCAAGCCGAAGCGCTTGATGCTAGAGTCCGATCACCGGCGTTGCAATCCCGACTGCTCAGTGCTCCA